GATTTAATATACTATTTCCAGTAAGTAAAATATTCTGGTGTATTTCAAATTGAAATTATATAGATCAGAATAGTATGGCACAAGGCCAATAATATCTAGTGCTATCTTACTCGAAGATATCAATAATCAGTATGATAATACATTCATACACGCAACAATAAGGAATGCTATAATTTTTTTAATCATTTTACTCCAAGCAAGGCTATAAAGCCACTAAGACGCAATGGAAGTTACTGAGTGTTAGAGAGTATGTGAAAGAAAAAGAATAACTATTACGAAGAGAGAAAAATAAAATAACAAGAACTAAGAAGACAGAAGATAACGATTGACATTACATTTAAATTTTTGAAGCAAGAAGGCGGAAGAGTGTTCCACAAACGAAAAGTGCGATAGAAGAAACTGTTAGCATAGAACTTACGGTTCAATCTCGCCATAGCAAGTGCAAAATAATGTGACCTTACCTTAAATATAGTACTGCGCTTAAATTCACATAATCTATAGCGGAAAGTAATATTTATTTTGCAAATACAAAAACTTTTCTTAAATGCGGCTATTCTCTTAATTTTATGAAATTTGTAAACAAAGCAAAATTATCGGTTTTAAAAATCTTTCAAACATAAAATTTATATTTGTGACACGTTATTTGAGTAAAATTAACAACTTTAAAGTTAAATTAATCTGATTTGAAATAAATATTACTAATAACAAAATTAATATACAAGCATTTCATAATGACGGGTCCTGTTTTTCTTTCATCTTTATTGTGGTCAAATAGGTGTAACGTTAGGCGTCTGGATAGGTATGTAGTTGTGTGACCGATGTAATTATTTATGAATTCAGTTTGATCAGGAACACAGTTTCTTAAAGGGCATCTGAACTCATTTTTCCAATAATATTTCTGTTGATTAGTTTTTTTTGTTTTTTTTTAACATTTTATCAACCCTTTGTAGGTTATTTAAAGATGAAACATATTTGGGATGGTAGGAAGTCACTTACGTACCCTGTACTTAAGATGAAAAGAGGGCCTGGAGAATCTAGCATCCACAGGGCATAGAAGAACAGAGGAAATCAGCGAGTAACCTACCTAATGAGAGTGTGTACATGGAAATAGTGGAGCGCCATGATCAACCTGTCTAACGATCTTTTGTAAATGTATGGCAGAACAAAAAGTTGGAAGGATGATGAAAAGACAAACCTTACAAAGAGCTACTAGGAATAGGAAGCTGTGGAGAACAGTAATCGCCTCTGTTTTAAAAGTATATAGCACATAGAAGATGAATAAATATCACAACTCTAAACTGTTTAGAAAGCAGTAAAACAATTTATTGATGCGATATTTTGTCGAAAACGACTGCATGACATGTCATTGTGAATATTACGGTCACAAAGTACAAAAGTGGTATCTCATTACTGACTGAGTCACCTCAGGGGAGAGTGTCCACGTATATGCACTAAGTTATGTCTAATTGCAAATTACATGAAAGCTGCGCAAATGGTTCTTGAGATTTTCAAAATGGCTGAATACTTTTCAAACAGAATGTGTACTCTCCGCGTTGAAGGATGTCTGAAAGCGAAAATGTTTTATGATTAACTTAATTTAAATCGATCACGTTTAACTGTCGTCTCCTGACTCTTAACCAACAAATCAATATTTTTTATTTTAATCATTTATGAATCGATAATTGTTTTTTTCAGGCTAAAAGCAAATCGGGCAACAATGCGTCATCTTTTCTGTCAAATAAAATGCATTTTAGAATTCTAAGTTATGTTTTGCATCGGACCGTACAAAATATACTGTGGCACAAGGCCAATATTGTGTAGTGCTATTCTAAGTTACCGTCATATGGGTACATGACCGAGTGGTTCGTATTCTGACCATGAGACCCGGGTTCGAATCTCATCATGGTCGATTTGTCAGGAAGGAGACTCTCTGATGTTATCGGACTGGAGGGTTCGATCCCATAATGCGGCACCTTTGGAAAGTACCCGAAAACCATACCACCGGTTGACCCAAGCCTTGTAAGAGAAATTGGGTAGACGGAAACCTTGAAGTCACAAGTCATCGGGACTTGAGCGTGCTGGCCTTATTCAAATTGTTGATCATGTTAGATAACATGCTCTCTCCCAGAAACTGTAACTAAGGTCTGCTCAGAATATTTGCAATATAAACCACATTCTGTGAGTGTTGAATGCGCCTGATCAAGCGTCTGCAATGGGGATTGGCTCGCCGTCCTAGTAGACGGGTATCATCGAATATGACTGGTCAGCTTTACATACATACATACCGTCCTTTGCCCTGGCTATGATCAGGTCTATGCTGAGGTTTACATGGGCAGCAGTGAAAATACTCAACAGATGTTGGCCCAATGTTTGGCGCCAAAAACAGGAATATCTTGTTAGGTTGATTAATTTAAAAGACACATCAACACTTGTTGGGTTATTAAATGTCGAATAGCAGAAAAACCTATGAATGGCCGAAAGCATTAGCCCCAAAAGAAACGAGTCAAAAGATATCAGTTGCTTTCTCCCCCTATTTCCTTTAATCCAACATTGACCTTACGTATAGGGTTAACGCTATTTTCGTCTTGTCTATTTTTGACTTGTCGTATTTTAAGTTTGAATCTTCGTCATCAGATATTCAAATACCTTCACGTGGAAGCTAATTCCATGCTGTCTTCTGATATATATATATATATATATATATATATATATATATATATATAGAGAGAGAGAGAGAGAGATGAGACCTACTATATGTATCTTTTAAATCAAAAGTAATAATTCGTGCCTGATGAGTTGGTATAACAACGAAACTTTAAGTCGCACTCGTAACGTATATATATATATATATATATATATATATATTTATTTGAAGTGCAACTTAAAGTTTCATTGTTCTACCAAGTGATATATATATATATATATATATATATATATATATATATATATATATATATATATGTGTGTGTGTGTGTGTGTCTGTGTTTGTGCAAATATATAGAAAATAGGAAAGACATTTAAAAATTATATTATTAAATAATTATATATATATATATATATATATATATATATATATTGAGATAGATAGCGAGAGAAGGGGGAGAAGGTACCTTCAATGTTACGCTAAAAATGAATCTGTTCACTTCAATTATTATTCGGACTGTGATCTTCATATTCATTGCCATATTCACGACATTTCGAATCGAACTATTTCGTTCCACTTGCCGTGCCTCTTCCGGATGTCTGCCTTATTTCCATTTAGCTCAACTTAACTCAAAGTTTTGTTTCACCTGGTGGCCTGGTATTAAACTCACAACTTTTTGTAGGTGTAGTCACTGGATCAAACTAACGTATTTACCCATTGGGCCTTGTGACCTTGAGGACATAAGTGCCTGAATTTTTGGGCATTTATAAAACCAATGTCTCAGCAACCATTTTTACCAGTGCTCATATTGCATCTTTTTTTATTATTATAGCATTCTGTTTTCATTGAAATTCCAATCATAATATCTCATTTCAGAGATAGAGACAAATAATGAATACGTTCTTAATAAATAAAAACAAAAAAAAAAAAACAAAGTTTGTCGTCTGAAGTCTTTGTGTTATTATTAAGAGGAACGACCAAAGGATTTTTAATGCCTTTTAGAACCTTCAAAATTTTCGTTAATGTTTCTTTTCTTCAAGTATATTTTATTTTTGAAAGATTTTTAATAAAGAGAATTACGTTGTGTTGACAGATTTGTAAATATGGACGATTTTAGCCATTTTTAGCGATTTCAAAAAATCACTGCAATCACTTTAAATCTGTTTTGAAATACAACAAAGTATTTTGCCTATTAAAAATATTAAATTTAATCTATTAGCTTGAAATTAAATCTAAAAGAAAAAAAATTAACATTTAAAAATGCGTTTTAAACCTTAGGTATCACTTCTCTTTAGAGGTACATACATACATATATATATATATATATATATATATATATATATATATATATATATATATATATATATATATATATATATATATATATAGTCTTTCAGCCAAATTTCACACGCAAGTCTTGGATTAAACCGTGGTATTCTTTTGGAGTAATTATCAAAGTTACTGCGCTTGTGATCACCTCCCTTACAAAGATTCGGACCCGGGTCTTATGGCCAGAAAGAAACCGCTGTAACCGCTCTAACCACTCAGTCTTCTTCATATCCATCGAGTTATCTAATGTTATATGCTTATGATACACAATCCTGCCTCACTCCTTCTATTCTCGTCAACCATATTGAAGCACTCAAATGCCGGTTCTCGACTCTTGCGGTGACCCCGCCTTTTGCGATGCCATTTTTAAAGTGTCCCTCTGGTGGCCTTTCCATTAAAGTGGTCTGCCTGTTTCGCGTGTAGATGTTTAAAAATATTCTCTTTGAGGAATCTTCGATTGAGATTCCATATTCTTTGCAATCCATACTGAAAAGATGAACGAGGAAAAAATGAGAAGACGTCTATGACCGTTTGAGAACTTCTGATCACGTGATCATTCCATCCCCACCCTCTGCCCGGCACTTCTCAGCGGGGGTTGTTATCAGATAACCAGTGCTCATAAGTAATTTGTTTTTTGTATTACTTAATGTACATCTTACCCTTAAATGTATATCGGTTTTTTAACACATAAATTGCGTGTAAAAACTTTCGGTTTTACGTATGTGTTTATTTTTATTTTTGTTGTTTTTTTTTAATTAAAAATCCATATTTCAGTTGTGGGTGTTGTCCAAGTGTCGTCAGAATCGTTGATATCGAACCCTGGAGTAGATGGGATTATCCAGAGATCGATAAATCTCTGGAGATCTCAAACGCGGGTCGGTAAATGCCTGCGGATCAAAAGAAAAGCGATAAATAAATCAATGTGATTATGACTATAACTCACCAATTTCCAACCTAATATCAATCACAGAACTTCTAATCAAACATCCCCTCCCCCCGTTAATGATGTCAACGTATATTATGTTTAATGTTTATAACCAATATTTATAAAATTCTTCTTCTTCTTCTTCTTCTTCTTCTTCTTCTTCTTCTTCTTCTTCTTCTTCATCTTCTTTTTTTTCGTCTTCTTTTTCTTCTTCTTTTTCTTTTTCTTTTTCTTCTTCTTATTACTTTCTTTGATTTTTGTTGTATACTCATTAGCTTTCGGGACCCAACCAGAGATCTAAGGTCAGAAATAACTCCGTGACATTAAATAAATAAAAAAAATGATTGCATACATTTTACATAAATAAAACATTTCGTAATATATGATCTGTACTTGTGACTATAATTTTTTGTATTTCTCTAAGGCATAGGCTACCAGGAATCCCTTCAAGGAGTTCTTATCCAATCAATCCGAGGGCTCCTACTACAACTGGAAATATTGATGTCCTTATGCGCCACATTTCTGAGATCTCCACGTCAAGATCCATGTATTTCGATAGTTTTTTTTGAAGATCTTCAAACATACATTAAAATCTACAGGATCTGCCATGTTAGTAAGAAAGGACATTGCATTCTTCGTCGATTATTATTATTATTATTATTATTATTCCAAAATAAAAATGATCACCATCACATTAAAAACGTTTCAGTTACATGCCTTCACGTGGGTGGGGTTTCATTCGTTTTGATGCCTTCATGACCAGGACAAGCATTTTTTTTTTCATTACAAGACAAGCAACTTTATTACAAAGACATAATGTTTTTGTAGATTTATATATTCCTATACTTGCTTTTTTTTAATATAACTTCAATAAGACAGACACATTCTTTAAATATTCAGTATCTGTCTGTTAAGGTAAGGCTTTAAGAACACCAGAAAGCTGTAACATGAGGGGAAGTGGAAAAATCAGTTATGGCTGACCACATATAGAGAGAAAAGGGAGATCACCGTCCTCTTTGGAAACAGGTTGAGATCATAGACAAAGAACACCATTGGAAAATTCGTAAACTTAAGGAATCAGCATATATGCTAGGCCACAAAAATCTCCTGAGCCGACCAAGCATAGAAATGAATACAATATGGGAACCAGTAATAAGGAGTGCCAGAGAAAAGCGGTTATAACAACAAAAATTGAAATATGACCTCTGGTAAAAACATGGATGATAATAGCAAAAATCGCAATATGAGCACTGGTAAAAAAAATGGTTGCTTAAGACATTAGGTTTATAATAACCAGAAATTCATACCCAGATGTCCTCAAGGACACATGGTACAGTGGATAAAGGCGTTAGTTAGATCCAGTGACAGGACGCAAAAAGAGTTCAATACCCGGTTAAGGCAGTGGAGAATTGGACAGAAGAATTAATAGGAGATAACTGATAACTGACATCCATTAAACGTGGAACTGAAACTGAAGTGAGCGAAATAAAGGGTTCAGTTCGACATTCCAACCACCTGAAAAAGGCCGGAGCGTACAACGGCCGAAACGTTGTAATAAATATAGCGACAAAGATGAGGACAATAGTCCGAATAATGAAAATAGTGTTTTTAAATATTGTTTAACATTATCAAACACTGTTTTTTCTTTCCTGAAATCGTGCTCTTCATTTAACTATTGGAAGAGTTACGTCAATCAATGTTAACTATCATTAGAAGTTTACTTTTAATGTGAATCTTTGAATAAATAAACCGCAAGGTCAAGGGAGATGACTCTAGTATAACAAACAGGATAGAAAAACATTTGACATAATATAGTAAGATATTTTTTATAACTCTTATTATGAGTTATTTTATTGTACCAAATTTATAAATTAGATTTTATCATATAATATTCACATGAATTTAAATGCTTCGTTAGTTTTACCTGTCATAGAATAAACATGTCTTCAAAACCTTTTGAAGCCAATGTCGAAAGGCGCCTATTCCAGTGGAGATTAATGGTCATCTAGAAAAATATAAGATCGAACCTTTTCTTATTGCTGCCTTGGACGACATTAATCGAAACTAAGTCAATGAAAGACGCCATCTATAGTGCGATACAAAGTTAGATTGCAGTTCGATGCAGTGATTTCAAGCTTCGTTTAATGCACCACGTTTGTAATCTTGTGCCAGACTAGGCGAAGTAAATATCTGTAGTACTACGCTGGGATGGGCTTTGCGCTAAATCTTGCATCAAAAGAGAAAACTAAGTGCAGTGTTAACCGAAGGTTACTCCCGATCGCCGAATGCAGAAGCGCATAACCTCACACCTGTACTCGTTTTTGCAAATGTGGGAAAGAGAAACGCAACAGCAGCAGTTATATAAACAAACACACCAAAGAGGATTTAGGCAGTCACTCAGACATAACAGATGGAGAATATAAAGTTCTATGTCCAGGGGCCGATCCCATATACTCTCATTGGTAGTAACTGACAGAAGATCAGGGTGAAATAAATTTAATATTACGTAATGGAAAAAATGATAGACTTGCTATCATTAACCCTCTGAGATCTGCGTTCCTAAACAATTCTAACCCTTCTACATGAGCCCCTGGGTCAAAATTCGCAAATAATTGGTATGTAATATTTCACGGTAGATATAAAATAGAAGTGTTTACACAGCGTTCAACCGGTAGCTGAGAATTAAGTCATTTTTCTCTACCACTGTTCAACCGGTGGCTGGGCATTACGTCATTTTTCTCTACAACCGGTAAAGCGGTGGTCAGGGCTCAAAGTGTTAAGAGATCAAACTGAATTCGCAAATAATTGGTATGTAATGTTTCGCGGTAGATATAAGAATAGTTACAAAAATTTACCCACCGTTCAACCGGTGGCTGGGCATTAAGACATTTTTCTCTTCCACTGTTCAACTGGTGGCTGGGCGTTACGTTTTTTTCTCTACAACCGGTAAAGCGGTGGCCAAGGCTCAAAAGACTGAACGCCACTGACTACATTACATATCTAGACTGGCTCATGGTTGTGTAGTGATCTCCAGAGCCAAGAGTCGGTGTTACTATTAAGATAAAACCAATGATTTTGTTTCCTTTAAAATTAGTCAAGCCCACTGAACTTACTAGAATGACGCAACACTTTCTTCCTGTTTCTGTTTTGTCTTCTAAGTCAAGGTTACTAATGTTTAAGGGTCTAAACAGGCCCCAGTCACCTCGGCTGTTGGTAAGGTACCCACCTTTGAAACAATTTGCTCTCCTTCTTCCATGAAAATGATATTGTGGAATCATTGGCTATAGTTGAGGGTAACGAAGGATTTGCCGAGAGACGGTATCGTTCGCCGGCCACAAAAAGAATTTGTGTGGCAATATGCATTGTTTGAAGCCGTAAGCAGAATTGATTTCGGCACGGTTCGAACCTTAGCGTCTCATTAAGCAGTTGACGTTGATTTATGGACGCACAACGGACATGCCAAGGTGTTGGTAGAGTGACATGATTGGCATATGCAAATTTAATCCAAACACACGGAGTGAGTACTATTTGAGACAATAAAACAACGATTGAGATCGACGTTGTGACAGTGAGAGGAAAAGATTTCTTAACGGTGTGCTTGTAAGGACAGCCAAGATGGACATGAAAGTCTCTAAGGACAGACAAGGTGGGCAAGAAAGTCTCCAAGGACAGCCATCAAGAAAGTCTCTAAGGTCAGCCAGGGCGGACGGACAAGAAAGTCTCTAACATCAACCATCAAGAAAGTCTCTAAGGTCAGCCAAGGCGGGCGGGCGGGCAAGAAAGTCTTTAGGAGAGCCAGGGCGGGTGAGCAAGTAAGTATCTAAGGACAGCGAGGGCGGGCAAGAAATTCTCTAAGGACAACCAGGGCGGGCGGACAAGAAATTCTCTAAGGTCAGCCACAAGTAAGTATCTAAGCACTGTCACGGCTGGCGGGCCGGCAAGAAAGTCTCTAAGGACAGCCATCAAGAAAGTCTCTAAGGACAGCCATCAAGAAAGGCGGACAAGAAACTCAGACGAGCGACAGTGTTTCTTCTTTTTTTCCTTTGTTTTCTTCTTTCGCTTTTTCTTTTTACTGTTAATTAACATTTGCAACAAGCGGAAGTGACAAAATCTTCAACAGAAATTAAGAAAAAGAACAAGACAAAATAATACAAAGCAAACAATATATATACAAGTCAAAAATAGGCAAAGGAAAGGTAATAAGGCAAAAACTTCTCAAAATAAAAACGTTGGTCCCACGAAAATGGGATACAATCAATTGGTCATACCGTTCTGACTTTAAGACAAGAAATATTGAAGGGAAGACTGAAATTTGTCCATATTAATTAATTAGGAAGAAATTCGAGCATACATCTGTAGGATTGGTCTATAAATTTGGGGGCGAGGATGTTGTTAGTGATTATTTCCAGTCATTCGAAGCAATAGATGTAAACTAATTTTAATATGCAAATTTTTATTCTCGCCTTCTTAACGGAATGCCGCACCACCCAGAATAAACTAACATCAGGGCTGGGTCTAATCCGAAAGGAAAATTGAAAGCCGGGGCTATATAGGTTCAAGCCTTTTTGCATTTAGAAAACGGTGGCTAAACATAAATAGATCTGTTTTCCTCTCGACGCCCATGTTAAATAATCTTTAAAACAACTTGGAAAACTTTCTGTTTATTTTGGGAACTAAACGAGAGAACCTCTCCAGAAGAGAAATCGGGGGGTGGGGAGAGGGAAGAGAACCATTCAGAATCACTTTGAACCCAATCTGCTTTACAGTCCAATTTCCTCTATCTTTCTTCGAATCTTTTTGCTTCGATCGTATATATCTAAAGTCATGCGGCAAGAACAAAAGAATTCACTGTCTCAAGCAAACCAGTCGCTTCCCGATCTCACACCGATTCCTGAGTTGACGAGAATCTCTCTCTCTCTCTCTCTCTCTCTCTCTCTCTCTCTCTCTCTCTCTCTCACTCACTCACTCACTCTCTCTCACACACACACACACGTGTGGATGTTATTTGTCCAAGAACTGGCTCCAGCAAAAGCGTTAAATCGAATTTTCACCAAAATTAAAGGGAGATAACTTTCATATCTGAATGTTTGTTTTCTTAAATTATGTTTCATTTAAAACAGGCATGAGCAACATTTTTCGAAGCACAATTCATCATAAGGCAAAACAAAAAAGCTCAAAGTAATTTTTTATTAAATGTACCGCAGTCATTTCCCCCATCAAAAAATAGGCACATTTGAATTTACCATAAAAATGGCGAAAAGTCGATTTTTTCCTATCGAAAAAAAAAAAAGATAAAAGATTCCTTCTCTAATTAAAACAAACTAAAGTCTTGCTCTAATATTATCCCTGATGACAGAGTAATTAACACACTTGTATCTGTGATTTGTTTCTAATTTATTCATTTGTCAACGCAAAACATTTTTAAAAATATATTTATTATCTAGAGAAAAAATAATTATCACTAACGTTTCCTGTTTCTGAAGCAACAGATTTTTGCACTTATAGTCTTCCTTAATGAAAATCGACAATGGTTAAAAATGCTGACAACGTTATTGTTAATAAAAGTTACACAATTCAAGAAACATTGTACTTAATCATTGCTTATGTCTGAGAGTGTGTGAGTGAATAAGTGCAGACGAAAGGAAACAAACAACATTTTAATAACGTTATTTTCCTCATGAAATCAGGCGTGCCAGTAAAAAAGGCAATCGGTTGTGGCTCGCGGGCCGTATTTTCCCCATGACTGGTATAAACCTTGCACTTCTTAATTTGATTGTTACTTATTTTTATGATAGTGAAGGACTGGCAACAGGTGTTGGTGTGTTCAAAAGTATTATTTAATGTTGAAATCAGTTAAAACCAGGAAATTGACTTCTTTTTTTTTTTTTTTTTTTTGAGAATCGAAAATAAAATGCCGAGTAAACTCTAAATATTAACATAAAGAGATATCTGACCGAAAACTTGTTTTAAATATTTCATTTTAATTACGAATGTATTTTGAAGGGGACAAATATTCCAACGGATATGTTTCTCGTCATTTTTTATTTGTTTTCCGCTTTTAGGAGGCATGGTCGAATAATGGATCCCAGCTCAAACTGAGGCAGCCGAGTTCGAATTCAAGTCGAGTTCTTTAGATTTATTTACGTGTTAATAATACCTTGGGGGGGGATGAATCCAAGTCTTCTCCCCTCCCCATTAATGGTTAAATAGTAGAACAGACGGGGTTCATTGACTTGATCATCCCGACTTTCAGTCGACTCCTTTTTTTTTCTCTTTAAATATTACAAAAATAAAATCAAGATATTAAGCATCATTATTACCTTCATGAAGACTTCAGTAATTAGAAAAAAAGGTATTCGTAATAGTAAGTAAATAACAATATTTTTAAATGATATCAGATCATTGCAAAAGTTCGCACCCAATTTTCAATTTTAATTTGAACTTGACACTGTTTTGGCGCCAATTTCTGATGTGTTCAAGGTTGAAACTTTGCATTGTTCATTTGCGAGTCTGACTTTCTTAGATGTTGACATTTTCTCCACAAATAAATTCCTTAAAGATAGAGGATGAAAAGTTTCAATTTCACCATATTACGCTCTAGGAATTTCAGAAAGGAGTAAGCATCGAAACAGCTCCGGCTATTCGGGTGGTTAAGAAGTGTTTTGGCCAGGACCGGCGCTAGGGTCATGCCCCACACCCCCGAACCTTTGATACGGGGCTCCCCTTTCTATTACATGTCGATTTCAAAGTTTCCTAATCTGGGGGCCACAAGCCATCAAACGAAAATTTGAGGAGAATGGTAGCGCTTTTTTTAAAAATTACCAAAAATCAGGAAATCATCCAATTTAAAAGAAAAATTTTAGTACATATTCATTAAATATTTATTTTTATAATGATTAGATATTTTTTGATTTTTTAAAAAATCTGAGAAAATGTTAATGTCTTTGTAATAATCACCAATATTTTCATGACTAAATTTTAGTCGAAAAAATGTTTAAGCCGCAAATTTTTACATTTCCATAAAGTTTAATCGCCGTCGCATCTCCGCTGAAAAAACAACAAAAAATTTACAAAGATTCCAACACAACACAAACGGGATTGTCTTAAAAATTTGTTTTAAAAACTATATTTCAGTTTTTAGGAAAATTTTACATGTGTTTTTAAACATTTTTATTCTTTAAGCGATTATTTTCTCGTTTTTATCTTTCGAGAAATGTAAAAAAAATTGGCACTAGAAATCTTATTTTAATTACTAAGTGGATTTCTGGTTAGTATTAGTAGTAGTAAAAAAAAAATCAAAGATCCTCCTTAGTGGATGATCTGGGAATAAAAAATGATTTTACCAAGATATACAGGGTGACCCCAAAAAACGGGAATTTTGAAGTGCGCATTGCCAGACATGAACAAGTGGCAACACTGCGCGACGGTGACCTTGAGCAAGTAAACATTTCGTCATTTAGAATTCAAGATGAAATTTACAGTATCCCAGCTGAGATGTTGCAGTAGTCAATGAGGAATCACAACAGCAGATTTCAAAAATGCATTCGTACAGGAGGACGCCATCTACAGGACGTAATTTTTAAAAAATGAAAATTCCATCATTGTTTCTTAAATGGCATATTTTAAGTTTTCAATTACTATGAATAAAATATTTTTCTTACATCACTCTTGGTTTTATTGGATTGTTAAAAAGTTCCCTTTTTTGGGTCACCCTGTATTACCCTCTTAATTGATTTAAAAGAATTGTTCAGAAATAAAATTACAATTTAAAAAAGATAAGTGCTACAGAAATTAGCAATTCTGCGCCCATCGCCATAAAGCATGAGGCCCCCAAGCGCTTGAGAGGTTCGGGGTAGTAAGCACCGGCCCTGTAGATTATTATAGTTGATGCTTGACAATATAACTTAGGAAAAAGTAAAAAGTACAAAAATTAAAAAAAAAAAACCCTGCTGAAATTAGCCTTTTTAGGGCTCCAACCTCGTCTGTGGTTCTTGCACCAGCCATTCAGATACACGATGTATATTATTAATTGATGACTGACAATGTAACGTCAATTTAAAAATAATTTTAAAAAAATGGCGGATAGCCACAAAACACTGATGGAAAAATGACAGAGGTCACAACGGGCCCCCCCAAAAAACGCATTAAGGGGATGGGGTATTTTGAAGGTAAGAAACGGCGGCTCCGGGTTTGGCTGATTTCGTCAGGGTTATGTTAACCTAAACGATCGAACACCCTGCGAGCGGACTTTGAACGACAATGAAGACGCTCTGCTTGGCATCATGGAGAATGAACTGAAGATTTCGACAGGAATACATTGCTAAGAGTTTCAAAATTGACATCTCAACTGCGTTTCGAGATCTGAAGAAATTTGGTTCGTTTCCAAACTCGACATGTTAATGCCACATTCTCTAACGGAATAGGACATGCCCGATTGTGTTTCTGTGGTCATTTCAAATCTGTTACACCACGAAAAGGAGCCAGAATTGGACAGAATTTCCTACTCTCTCTGTACATGGAATTCTAAGTATCAGATCATTGCAAAAGTTGGTGCCCGATTTGACATTATTAATATAAAATGACCTCAACTTGACACTTTTCCATTGCTTGATATTATTTCACTTTCCATCGTACATATTTTGGTCAAGAAAAGATAATGTTCTATTGAAAATCATAAAGAAAAAGAAGTTATCTCCCCTTATTAGAACTCTTCACTGATTTAACTACAGAAATAGAAACGAGGTTTCAAACTCTTTTTCGTCACGGACAGCGAAAAATATAAACGCCCGGCCAGAGAAAGAGTACATACCGACAAAACGGAGCTTGACATTGAAACACAGGTAGCAGCCTTGATAACATATGTACCAATGACAGACAAAAATAAAAATGAAGGAAATAAAATAAAAGTCAGTATCAGAACCTACAATGCAAAATACTAAAACATTATATAAGCACGGTTCGCCAGATGCAATAATATAAAACTGAAGCACAAACTTATTTTAGCAACAGACCTGACGCTATTCCATGATATGATATTAAAAGAGGAAAACGACGTAATTCTAGCGCAATTATAGCCTAATATCCTTGAAAAGATACACGCCGGCCATGAGGGCCAAGAAAAATGTAAACGCTTGGAGAGAGAATTCATTTTTTTTTTAGCTAGGAATAACCAAAGATATTGATGGGATTGTCCAAAATTGTGACTTATGAATTATTTACAGAGATGCACAAACAAAACATTCCTTTATTGACCATCAAATACCAACACGACCATGCCAAAAAGTAGCAGTAGACCTGTGTAGACATGGTAATAAAGATTATCTAATAATAGTAGATAGCCATTCAAACAATCCGGATCTCTACCTGATACCAGCACAGACGAGTGAAGCTGTGATGAAAGCGATGCAACATAGCTTCAACCGATTTGGAGTTGCTGAGGGAATATTCTTAGATAATAGACCATGGTTTTCATCAGCAGAAGACATGCAATTCGCAGCTGAGTGGGACTTCAAAAGGACGACATCGTCATCATTATACCCACAGCCAAAGGGACTGGTTTAGAAAAAAAAAAAAAACATAAAAACGATCAAAAATATACTTCGAAAATGTAAAGCTCCATTATTAGAATTATTAATCCATCGAACTACGCCGAGTGAAGAAGGATTATCGGATTCAGAAATGGTGATGGGGAGAAAATTACGACATAATCTCCCAACGCTAACCAAACAAAAGCAAGTTTGAATGGCTATCCATTATTAGTAGGTAATCTTTATCAACCTGTCTACACAGGTCTCCTGCTACTTTTTGCCATGGTCGTGTTGGTATTTGATGTTCATTAAGGGACTGTTTTGTTTGTGCATTTCTGTAAGCCAGAAAGAAAAAAATGGTGTAGCAAAAACATTATTATGACAGACAGGATACAAGAGAAGTGGAACTGTTAAAACCTGGAGATTCATTTAAAATGTGAGACCCGATAAAAAATCATGAAGTGATTTAGAAAAAAATAAAATAAAATCACTTAAGGTTGTATATTGAATAGTTATGAAAAGTTATCTTCCCTTATTAGAAAT